TTCCCATGGTCAAGGGTTGGCAACCTTAAACATTCAAAGAGCCACTTGGACCCGTTTCCCAGAGAAAACACTGGAAGCCGCAAAACTTGTGCGCACGCGCGAGGGGGGGGGGGGAAAAACCTTGATTGAAGAGTTTAATTAAAAAGAAATAGAGGCTGCTGTGCATGAGTTCTCTCTCTCTCTCTCTCCCTCCCTCCCTCTCTCTCCAATCTTCTGCTCACCTGGCAAGCTGGCTTCACAACAAGCTGACACACATTCTTATTGAGCTGGCTCTCTCCTACCCTTAGTCTGCCAGTCCTCTTCCCCCACTCTGTGTGTGTGTGTGTGTGTGTGTGAGAGAGAGAGAGAGAGAGAGAGAGAGAGATATGCTGCTTTCTGCTGCTTCCTGCTGAGACGAAGCAAAGGCAGGAGCCTCGCCAATAAGCTTGTCAGCTAGTCCGAGAACAGCATGAGGCCACTCTCTTTTTTTTACACACACACACACACACACACACACACACACACACACACACACACACACAGAGAGGGGGGGGGGAAGCACAAGTGCCTCTCTGTCTCTGCAAATGGTGGAGGAGGCTGGGAGCCACAGGAGAAGGCTCAAAGAGCCACATGGTCATGTGATCAAAATTCAGACACTTGGCAACTGACTCATATTTAAGACAGTTATAGTATCTAAAGGCTTGGGTGTTTTATTTGCCATAACATGGAAAAGAAATAAATATATATACAATAAGCTGTCCTCCTTGTCATCTCATAGCTGATTATATCAGTAAAGGCATTTTTTTTCTTTCCTGTTTACTACAGGGAGTCCTCAACTTACGACCACAATTCAGCCCAAAATTTCTATTGCTAAGTGAAACGTTTGTTAAGCGACTTTTGTCCCATTTTACGACCTTCCTTGCCACAAGTTGTTAGGTGAATCACTACAGCTGTTAAGTTAGTAACCCGGTTGTAAAGTGAATCTGGCTTTCCTGTTGACTTTTGCTAGTCAGAAGGTCACAAAATGCGACCACATGATTCCGGGACACTGCAATCATCATAAATATGAACCGAGTGCCAAGCATGCACATTTTTGATCACGTGTCCATGGGGATGCCGCGTTTAAGTGTGAAAAATGGTCCAAAGTCACTTTGTTTTTTGGTGCTGTCGTAACTTTGAATGGTCGTTAAAACAAACGACGGTAAGCCGAGGAGGACCTGTAATCCTTGAGATGGAGCATACCGTTTGAACTGCAGCGATACCCTGGAAAAACAACTGTGACATGATGGATACACAAAGCTGCTGTTCTGGATGGAAATGACAGAGGCAACCAGGAAGTCTCCGCCATTCATGTGCTTTCACAATGATCTATTGAAAGAAAACACCATTTCAGTTTCAAATATGGAATTCTACAATGGAAATACTTCTTACTCCAGAAACACATTACACCAAAAGTCTACATTGCACCTAACAGTGAGGACAATTAACCAGCGGAAAGGCTTGCCTCTCTCCTCCCAGCTGTGATCTAGTCTTTTATCTCCATTTGAACTCTGAACCTAGAACTTTTTCCACTGTGGAAGACGTCAGCACTCACTCATCCCTGCTTCCCCTTTTCTCAAAGAAGAGTGCAAATGCCTGCTTGGAACTCAAAGAGTTTCTGTCACTGCAGACTCCAATACAAAGCAACATTGCCAAAGTTTTTTTATCCTAGGAGTCCGGCTTCTTTTGGAGTTAAAAGGAAGCCCTTCCTAAGGAAGAGCCTGTTGTTGTTCACCCGCTAAGTAATGTCCAGTTCTTTGGCCCACAGCATATCATGCCCCTCCCGCCCTCCTCTGTCTCCCGGAGTTTTCCCAAATTCATGTTCGTTGCATTGAGGACACGATCTAACCCAGCGGTTCTCAACCTATGGGTCGCGACCCCATTTGGGGTCAATCGACCATTTCACGGGGGTCGCCAAGCAAGGCTGTCCGCCATTTTTTTTCCCTTTTCCGGCGGGTGCCTTACCTCTCTTGAGCTGCGCCAGCTGGTGGTCGGCCTGCTCCGTCTCTGCCGCTTGCCAGCTACGCCTCGGCCGGCACAGGGGGCGGAACCACGCATGCACGGTGCTCCCAGGCAGGGAAAGTCCTCAACTTATGACCGGTTGGGTAGCCCTCGACTTACGACCGGTTTAGTCCTCGACTTACGACCGGTTGGGGGTCACGGCATTAAAAAGGTTGAGAACCACTGATCTAACCAGCCGTGATGGCGCAGTGGTTAGAATACAGTACTGCAGGCTAATTCTACTGACTGCCAGCAGTTCGATTCTCACCGGCTCAAAGTTAACTCAGCCTTCCATCCTTCCAAGATGGGTAAAATGAGGATCCAGATTGTTGGGGTCAAATATGCTGACTCTGTAAACCGCTTAGAGAGGGCTGTAAAGCACTGTGAAGCGGCATATAAGTCTAAGTGCTGTTGCTATTTCATCCTCCCCTTCTTCTTTTGCTTTCAACGAAAGAACCTGGTTTAGCATTTAAGAAATTCATGGAGCAGAATGGGGGGAAAAAACACATACACTGCCTTAGCTATGAGTCTCCATTTCCTGGATGTTGAAGAGATACACAGCTAAATGCCTTAACAAGCCATGCAGCCCTGAACAACAGTAGATGTAGTTCCACCAGGTGGAGACATACTGAGAGATCAGGAATATATGGAGCTCAATCTGACACTGTCTCTGAATCTGTCTCCTAACCATACATCAGCGTAATAAACCAGTATTGTTAAAGCACCTGTAGAGGTAGGTAATTAGATATTTACCACCAGACACCATTACTCCAGCAGAAGCACCAATTCAGGTTGAATTAAATGGTGCTTTGCAGCTATTTCCTCATTCTACTAGGATTTTATTTTCAAGTTAGAGCAGCAAAGCCTCCCCTTGTGCCATTTGTTCCTTAAATGCCTACTGCTCCAAGAAACTTTACCCAGATCAAATATCATTCCCCATCTAAGCCAATAACAGGAAGGATACTCTGGCCCAGATAGAAGAAATGGTAACACCTCAACTGCAGTAAACTAGAAAACTGTTACGTTTTAACAAACTGCATCACTGTTTCAGTACCTCAGAGCCATACAGAGTGGTTAAAAAGACAAAATGAACGGATAGCTCACCAGAAATTGCCAGGTGGAGGAAAAGGTGTTCTACTCCCTTTCTCCCTAAATAACGGGGGTGAGAGAAGTTGGCTCCAACATAGCTGGAGCCCACCAAGTTGAAGAAATCCAGTTAAATCCGTCCACTGGAAGAGAAGAAAAAGGTCTAGTTTCCTGAAAGACAAAATAGCAAACATTTTAATGCTGGCTCTCTTGGGAAATCTCACTCCTTCCAGAAAGCAATCTTCATTCAGGTTCCCTCTAGAAACAGGAATCTGCACCAGTTGGGTTTCTGCCTGCCACAGGTTTCCATCCAGGTGTTCCTAAAACAGTGAGGCCTTTAATCATGAGAAAAGCTGCTGCCCCACACTGGAATTAAAGCGCTGGCTGGGGATGATGGAAAGCAGGGTCCACCTTTCAGCAGTCTGAAAGACCCTAGAAAGAGGCTCTTCAAACTTGGCCCTTTTATGATGTGTGGACTTTAACTCCCAGAATTCCTCAGCCAGGCACGCTGGCTGAGGAATTCTGGGAGTTGAAGTCCACAAGTCATGAAGGGGCCATAGTTCCCCCATGCTGCCTGAGGAATTCTGGGAGTTGAAGTCCACAAGTCATGAAGGGGCCTTAGTTCCCCCATGCTGGCTGAGGAATTCTGGGAGTTGAAGTCCACAAGTGAGGAATTCTGGGAGTTGAAGTCCACAAGTCATGAAGGGGCCTTAGTTCCCCCATGCTGGATGAGGAATTCTGGGAGTTGAAGTCCACAAGTCATGAAGGGGCCTTAGTTCCCCCATGCTGGCTGAGGAATTCTGGGAGTTGAAGTCCACAAGTCATAAAAGGGCCAAGTTTGAAGACCCCCTGCCCTAGAACAAGTACAGTTGGCGTGAATGGATATCCCGCCTTTTATACAAGACTGATCAAGGCAGCCTTCATAATATTCCCTCCTCCCAGTTTTAAGCAAACAACAACCCTGTGAGGTAGGTCGGGCTGAATGGGACCGGCCCAAAGTCGCCCAGGGAGGGTCCATCGCTGAGGATCAACTTCCTAGTCAAAATAAATGAAATAAAAATTATTGAGGAGAATATAAAGTGAGGAAAACGAGACGACTATTCCCCCATAGCCCGAATAGGAACAGACCTTCCAGCAGAAGCCCTGCTTCTTCCGGAAGCGCTCCCGATGTTCAGGTCGGAAGTGACGACAACTCCTTTCTCCCAATCAGCGCGCAGCTCGGAGGGATGCTGCTCCAATTCCCGCCCCTTTTCTTCCCGCCTCAACTCAACCATCTTCCCAGCCCCGCCCACTCGCTCCCTTCTCTACCCAATCGGAGTGCTTCGTCGTTTCTACCTGCCGTGGCAACCACGACCAGCTTTGTCAAAGATGGGGTGACCGGGGGGGGGGAGTGATGGTGGAAAGGAACAGCCTAAGCCAGGGGTCTTCAAACTTGGCCCTTTTATGACTTGTGGACTTCAACTCCCAGAATTCCTCAGCCAGGCACGCTGGCCAAGTGTGAAGACCCCCGGCCTACGCTTTTGCCTCAGGCGGAATCGCAGAAAGCCTCTCAGAAGGCTTACCTGCCTTTCTGCCTCTCCTCCCACCGCTCTCTCTTTCTTTCTCTCCGGCAGCGAATCATCGAATGGGGGGGCGTGGCTGATTTTTGAGAGGAGCCGCTCATTTGCTCGTCTCGGGCTGTGGGTGGCGTCAGACGGCTTTCTGGCCCGCCCCCTTCCCGAAACCCGGGTATAAAAACGGGAGAAGCGGCGGCAGGCTTGATTTTGGCCGGTTGGTCAGCCGTCATGAGGGTCTCTGCGGGGCTGTGGGGCGGGTGGCTCTTCTGCCTCGCCTGGGTCGGCGGTTTCGGGCGTGCCCAGCGCATCCTCGCCCCTCTTCGTCTCCACGAGGCCTCCCGTCCCGATCCCTCCCGGCTCTTGGGGCTTCACGCTTACCGCACTTGCTATATCACCCAGAAGGTAAGGCAGGAAGAGCCGGGCGGCTTCCTCTCGAGCCCTTTCGTCGCCAAGCATCCTGTGTTTCTTCCTCCACACGCTCCCTTCCGTTTCCCTTTTAACCGTGCCTATATCCAGTGGTGGTGAGTTCCGCAGGATCGCCCTCGCTGTGCCTGGAAGGGAAAATTTGCAGCGAGAGCTGCAGCAAAAGGAAGCCTCCCGGTGGACTGGCAAGCCGGCCAACAAAAATGATCAGAGTTTAGTGCCGCAATAACGAACTGTGATTCCTAGCACATCCTCGGTCGTACACAGGTTAGCGGGGCTTGACCCATCAACATGCTGGGACTTACAATTGCACGGTCTCTGAAGCTTAGCCTGTTGTGGGAAGACACACAAAGAATCTGGTGCTGCAGGATGGTGGTATATCCTAAGTCACTCAACCTTGGCCATTTTAAGTTGTGTGGACTTCAACTTCCAGAATTCTTCAATCGAAGACAAGATTTGTAGTTCAGGGTTGAAATGAGAGGTCCCTGATGCTCTCTGAGCTTGTTTTCTTGCAGATGTTTCATTATCCAAACTAGGTAACACCATCTGTGCTAGCTTGTTTTCTTGCAGATGCTAGTAGCGCATGATGATGTTACCTAGTTGGGGTAATGAAACACGTCTGCAAGAAAACAAGCAAGCTCAGAATGTCAGGGACCCCTCATTCTTCAATCGGCATGCAGCCAGTATACTGGCTGGGGAATTCTGGGAGTTTGAAGTCCACACATCTCCAAGTTGTTGAAGTTGAGAAATGTTAGAATAGAATAGAGCTGGAAGGGACCTTGGAGGTCTTCTAGTCCAGCCCCCTGCTCAAGCAGGAGAACCTATACCGTCTCAGACAAATGACTGTTTAGTCTCTTCTTGAAAACCTCCAGTGATGGAGTGCCCACGATTTCTGAAGGCAAAGCTGTTCCACTGGTTGATTGTCCTCACTGTCAGGAAGTTTCTCCTTAATTCCAGGTTGCTTCTCTCTTTGATCAGTTTCCAGCCATTGTTTCTCTTCCTTCCCTCTGGTGCTTTGGTGAACAACCTGGCCCCCTCTGCCTTGTGGCAGCCCCTCAGATCCTGGAAGACTGCTATCATGTCTCCCCTATTTCTTCTTTTCTTTAGACTGGCCAAACCCAAGTCCCGCAGCCGTTCTTCATATGTTTTGCTCTCCAGGCCTTTGATCATCTTAGTTGCTCTTCTCTGAATTTTTTCCAAGCTTTCAACATCTTTTTTGTGATATGGTGACCAAAAGTAGCTGCAGTATTACAGGTGTGGTGTTACTAGGGTTTTATAAAGCGTGATCTTGAGTCTATGCCTTTGTTTATATAACCCAGGATTGTATTAGCTTTTTTGGTTGCTGCTGCACACTGCTGGCTCATAGGCAAGTGATCGTCCACTAGGACTCTGACATCCCTCTCACAGTTACTGTTTTTAAACCAGATCTCGACCAATCTGTATTTGTACCTTTGGTTTTTCCTGCCTAAATGTAAGAATTGCTTTTCTCCACATTGAAACTCATTTTGTTGGTTAGGACCCATTGTTCGAGTTTGTCAAGATCTTTTTGGATCCTGAGTTTGTCTTCTGGGGTGTTGGCTACTCCTGCCAGTTTGGTCCATTGGATGGGCGTGGGCCATTGGGTGGGCGTGGGCCATTGGGTGGACGTGGCTGCGGTGGTAACGGCAGACTGGGTGGGACTAAAAAGTTCAATCAATCAATTCCAGCTTTGCAAGATCTTTTTTTTTCCGTGAGAAGTTGAAATTGACTGATTGAACCTTTTTTTTTTTTTTTGCACATGGCAGCGGAGGCCTAAAGCGAAAAGGTTTTATAAAACCCAGCTGAAGGCCTAGGACTGGGGCGACGGCGCATGTGCCCACAGAGAGGGCTCTGAGTGCTGCCTCTGGCACCCGTGCCATAGGTTCGCCACCACTGGGCTATTGTATTAAGCCTGCAAGGAAGTTAACGTAAATTCTGATCTTGCTTCTTGAAAGCCTTTAAATTCAACTTCAGTTGTACTGGTGCAGTGATTCCATTTCTCCTTAAAACGTGGCAGCGTTATGTTCATTGTTCAGTTAGAAGTGCTGACAATCTTGGGCCTCTGTGATTGGAAAGTTAAATGGCAGTTTGTACTTTCACAATAGGTTGGTTAAGCAAGCAGGTGAAGTGGCAAATATTTTGAACATTACAATCTCATGGTGGATGAATTTGCATCCTATTCAATTGGGACATCCCAAGCTTGATGTAAGAATTGGATCACAGTTACTCTTAAGCGTGGGAACTTTCTGCAAAGTTGTAAAGGGTGCCAATCTTCCCACAGATGGCTTTTTAAAAAAGAATTCTTTTAGTGTAGTGTAGAACATCTTTAATACTTTGAAAAATTAAGAAAAGCAAGTAGATGTTTCTTTTGCTAGATCAGTGTTTCTCAACCTTGACAATTTTAAGGCATGTGGACTTCAACTCCCAGAATTCCACAGCCAGCAATGCTGGCTGTGGAATTCTGGGAGTTGAAGTCCACATGCCTTAAAATTGTCAAGGTTGAGAAACACTGTGCTAGATGGATGAATATAAACCTAGTTACATCTGTATCAGACAGAAGTTGCCAACTTGCAACATCCAGCTGGAAAATATATATGTATATAAATGGGAGAAGCGGCGGCAGTCTTGATTTCGGCCAGTTGCTCCGCTGTCATGAGGGTCTCTGCGGGGCTGTGGGGCGGGTGGCTCTTCTGCCTCACTTGGGTCGGCGATTTCAGGCATGCCCAGCGCATCTTCACCCCTCCTCATCTCCACAAGGCTTCCCATCCCGTTGCAACATCCAGCTGGAAAATATAAATATTTCAAGTTCATTTTGGTTCCAAAATTCTTATTTATTGAATACACAACATAATATTGTCGAAGCAAAATTCACTCTGACTTAGTTTCTGTAAACAATTGCCCTTTGTTATATGGGAACCGTCTGCTTTTCTTCCACACCTGCTTCAGTGTCCTTGGAAATGACTCAAGCTCTCATGGTCTTCAGCAGAATCAAAAAAGTTTCATTTTTCCTTTTAAACACTTTTAAAGCAATATCCCCCCCCCCCCCAAAAAAAAACCTCTAATGGCAAGACTAAACAAAGAGGCACGTAGCTGCCACAGTTTCATTCTTGACCTAACCTCTTTGAAAGAAAGTGGAATAGCTGAACCACTAGAAAACTTCTGGGAATATAAATATATGAATATCAGAGAGCAAAGAGTATGATGTTGCACCTCTATGTATAAACATACAGTAGTGGCCAAAATTGTGGAAACCTTTTGGAAAAAGTAAGCAGTAGAAATGCCACCTTTGGTTAAGTTTCCACCCATTTTTCTTCTAATTTCTTTATAACTGTAGCCTTGTTCACTTAATAATACTATTTTACATCGCTTTCTGGGCGACCAGTCAACTCTTTGCACCATTACTTTAATTTTATTACATTTTTCAAGCTCACTAAATGAAAGAACACAAAAAAAAACCCAACCAACGTGATAGCGATCACATAACACACTGACAAATGTCCTTCTCTCAGCTTCAATACACGACATCAATCACCGAATCCCACCGTGATCTGATTGGCTCATTGCCAAAACAAGATGACACCCAATTGGCTCTCTAAACACTCATGCTCATTGGCTACAATCAGATGAAGGAAAGCTTCATGATATCAACCTAAGCAAGTTGTGCTTCCTTTTTCTGGTTATTTGGCTATAACCTTTCATGGAATACAGTACAGATCATTGAACAAACTTTGTTGCATTACATTCTTGATTAAATTATCTTTCCATTGATATATAATTTTATGGTACTACTCCCCCCCCAAAAGGGGTGTTATTAGCCATCAAACCTCAAAAATACACTTTCCCCAAAAGGTTTCCACAATTTTGGCCACTACTGTAAATGCATTCATCAAAAGAAGTGCACAGTTGTTTGGGAATTTCTGCATCTTGGCATTGCAAAAAAATATTGACTAATCTTGCCCTTTGGTCTGATTTTAGATGCATGCCTAAGGAAGGACTGGTGTAATATCTGAGTACCATAAATTAGCTTAATGACTGCCTTTCCTGCTCCAGGGATGGTAACAACAGCAAAGTACACTTAGCCGCTTTGTAGTTGAAGCGTGAGATCAGATTAACTGGGAAATAATGTGGGGTTTGATGTGTAGTGCCTTAAGCAGAAATGAAAAGAAAAAGCCTTGATATCAATTGAAGGAGAATATTTGTAGCTCAGGGTTGAACTGTGGGGTCCTTGGGGCTCTCTGAGCTTGTTTGTTTTCTTGCGGGCGTTTCATTACCCAACTAGGTAACATCATCGGTGCTAGAAGGGAGTGGGGTAGGAGGAAGAGGAGGAGGAAGAAGCGTGTGGGGTCCTCGCTGCTCTCTGAGCTTGCTTGTTTTATTGCAGACGTTTCATTACCAAACTAGGTAACATCATCAGTGCTAGAAGGAAGTGGGGGTTTGTGGAATAGAGGATGATGGAGGAGGAGGAGGAGGAGGACTGTGGGGTCCTTGGTGCTCTCTGAGCTTGGTTGTTTTTTTTGCAGACATTTCATTACCCAATTAGGTAACATCATCAGTGCTAGAAGGAAGTGGGGTTTGTGGAATGGAGGAGGAGGACTGTGGGGTCCTTGGTACTCTCTGATCTTGACTGTTTTCTTGCAGACGTTTCATTACCCAAACTAGGTAACATCATCAGTGCTAGAAGGAAGTGTGTTTATGGAGAAGGAGAAAGGAGGAGGAAGAATAAGCGTGTGGGGTCCTCGCTGCTCTCTGAGCTTGCTTGTTTTCGTGCAGACCTTTCGTTGCCCAGCTAGGTAACATCATCAGCGCTAGTAAGGAGTGCTGTTTGCTGTCAGTTTGTATTCTGGTGTCTTGCCTGTCTGTGTTGGGTGGGGGAAGACTTAGGGATTCTTTGGGCTGTTTACCGTTGATTCTGTGGCAGTTTCTTGATTGGGGTATTGTTTACTTGATTGTTGGTCTGAAGT